CCCCTAAATTTTGCAGGCATCCGCAGCTCTGTAATCCCTTCGTTGACTTTAATTCGCAATTTTCGCGGTTCGGTAATAAATGAAGATTCATCTATGAGGAAGCCAAAGATTAAGAAAAAATGAAAATGCTTCCCCATATTCGTACACTGCCTACGATTCGGAGGAAGCAAATTGCAAGTTTCAATTTGCGGCTTGTTTATCTACAAAGTTCATCATGTATACCATACAACCAGCCCTACGACGGAAACCTCGAACAAGCGAATCGTTGATTTTTGTACAAGATTGACCCCTACGAATTTCCTGAATTCGTAATATTTAACGTTAGAAATGGCTGAATCTCTTTGGCTATTAGAAACAAGACATAAGGAAAATTAAATTAAATTAAAATCTTCACCAGTGATTTTCACGTTCTTATCAGCCTTTGCTGTGGTATCTTTTATATCGATCTCACTCCTTGAAAAAATTTGTTCAATTTAACAAAACAATGCAATCATTAAAGCAGGCATTTCTTTCCAATCATAAGAATGATACCCCAGGTTCTATTTTTCGTAAAAGTATAAATTTTATAATTAACCGTGACAAATGAAATACGTTAGATCGCCCGTTTCTCAAGATGATTCTTTTACGACGTGTTTCCGCCAAGATAATATTCCTCATATATTGCACTGAAGGTGACAAGCGTCATGAAGACGTCTGACAAAATATATTCGAGTCTTTCTCGCAGCATCCCGACATTCCCATGATTGATGCGCAGGGGCTCGAGTCGATGACGGTCTCAAGAACAAATTGGATCTTCTCAAGAAAAAAGAAGCGACTCGATTTGTCTGGAGAAGCGCCTGAGAAGTGAATGGTAGGGGATGCCGCGAATGCAGGATGCGAAGCGAGCTTTCCACACTTGGATTCCACGAGCTGACTGTGGAAAGCAAGCAAGCAAGCGGGGAGGCACGCACGTTGCTTACAAAACGTAGCTTCTTGGGCGGAACTTTTTGAGGGTTCGGAAAATCGTCCAATACGTGTCCTACCTCGAATTTTATACGTGACTGTCAGATGCCGACCAAGCATTGTACTGTCTGTGCATATGTACTTGATATTATAGATTTTAAAGAGAAGACTGACAATTTTATAATATATCTAATATTACGTATAAATAATTTATTGCTCGATATATAATATTTGTAAAAAAGAATTTTATACGTGACTGTCAGATGCCGACTAAGCATTGTACAGTCGGTGTATATGTACTTGATATTATAGATTTTAAAGAGAAGACTGACAATTTTATAATATATCTAATATTACGTATAAATAATTTATTGCTCGATATATAATATTTGTAAAAAAGAATTTTATACGTGACTGTCAGATGCCGACTAAGCATTGTACAGTCGGTGTATATGTACTTGATATTATAGATTTTAAAGAGAAGACTGACAATTTTATAATATATCTAATATTACGTATAAATAATTTATTGCTCGATATATAATATTTGTAAAAAAGAATTTTATACGTGACTGTCAGATGCCGACTAAGCATTGTACAGTCGGTGTATATGTACTTGATATTATAGATTTTAAAGAGAAGACTGACAATTTTATAATATATCTAATATTACGTATAAATAATTTATTGCTCGATATGTAATATTTGTAAAAAAGAATTATTTTACTACTTCTTACATTTGAAAACAAATATTTATAATTTTGACGTCAGAATGCCACGACATGCCGTAAGAGCACAAGTAGTAAGCTACTCGCGGGGGGATGTCGAACGATGCGAATAGATGCGAAAATCATTCGTATCAGATTCGCAGCTTCGACGCCGGGGATAGCTTGTGACGCCCTTTACGCGAAAACCTGCTACATCGTTGTTTGCACGCACTTATATAACAACGTCACGCACATACCGCTCGCTCGTTTATTTCTTTTGTTCCGCGCCGCAGCCAGGGGTGCTGGCTCGTTCCCTGAATCGCTCTGGGGTTAGGAATTACAACGAATCGGGAAACTGATATTGTACCTATATGGGTATCCAGAGAGAGGTGCATATCGCTGAGAAAGAAATTGAGAAATTGAGAATAAAATTTGTGTAAAATTATCTAATTCTGCATTTTTTTTAAATTAGATATTGGAAGGAAAATATTTTACTGGTAATGAAATTTTATTGTTGATTTTATTATGGGGATAGAAATCGTTATAGGACTGAAAATGAGTATGTAGAACATTCCTTGGTCCAGTTATTCATAATATCCATGTGACAGTTCAATATATAACCTACGATACATGTAAGTATCTATTATCATAGAATCATTGACGATAAACCTACCGAGTGAAGTTAGCTCTGTTACATAAAAATTAAAATTGACTGATAAACTTCAGTTGGCACGTTTTACATAATAATTCGATCTATTCGATTCTTCAAAGTCTTACGATGTTCTAAGTGATACTACTATGTTTTTGTAGAAGTATCATAATCCAGTTTCATTTCGACAGAATGTATCATTACAGTTCATAGTTTTTACGGGACTTCAAGATTCATTACGTTTTCGGTTTAAACTCTGTGCGGTGTACCTCAGCGTAATACGAGGTACGTCAAGCAAAATGGAATTTGAACAGGTCAATTAACTCATCATGTTTCTCATTTCTAGAGATAATTTTTTGTAATCTTTTATAATTGTTCTAAGAAATACAGAAAACGACAAAAATCCAATTTGGTATTAAATAAGAATCACCGTTAAGCAACATTTAAAGAAAAGATTATTCAAACAATCAATTGATAATTCAGTATCAGATTGGAATTGGCTGGCGATTATAATTTGTAACGTATTTTTTTTCCTTAACTCGACACCGATAGCAAGACATACGAGAACGAACTATCTTCGAGAACCAACCTACGTTACCTTCGGCCGTCCACCCGTCGTTCGTGCATCCGCAAGACAGGCGGGCGCCAGCCAATTCTCTTTTCACCGGGAACTGACGAGCCGGTAGAAACTGGGAGTTGCGGTGGAACAGGCCCAACTACACCAAGAACGAGAGTTCTGACGGAACCTATCGGACGAGGCGATAGCTTAACGGATCCTGTCGATTTTTGGGGTCGCGTAAAATCAGCAAACACAACTGGATGCACAAACGGAAGCGGTCGGTTACAGAATTGCGCGGCCGCTCAGGCTGCTAGGTTGAGCTAGAGAGGGACGGGGTAAGAGTCCGGAAAATAGTGCGAGAGACAAAGAGCAACGGATCGAGAACGTAGCAGAACGAATCGGAGCTGTAAAATCGAAATCCCTTCACCAATTAATAAATTCGGAGCACTCACCGGAGCTGGTGCAGCTAATCCGTGGAGGCCGAGAACTGCATCCAAAGGACACTCTGGTGGACACTGCACTAAGGCACAGCACTACACTTCCGGAACACTCACAGGAATTCATAGAATTGCCTGGATATCGCGAGAACAACGCGAGAACTGTACGAATCGAGAACTTGCTATACCGTAGCGAAACACGGCAAGAAAAACTATAAACAGATAGCACGGAAGCGCGAGCCAGTGACACCTCGGTCGGTGCCCCGAGACAGACTGCTTTGACAATAGTCAAACTGCAATAGCCAAATGCCAAATCCGAGAACTAATCATTCTGATTGGTCGAGAGCCTTATAACCGATAACTCTTCTATCTCCTTCCATTCGTCCCTTTAAACCAAATCGAGAGCATTCCTTAGCGAATCGGTACGTATCTCCTGGAGATCCTCCACGGCCGCTTCCCCAGGGCATCGGGCGACAGCTGGGCACCACATCCTTAACTCGGACAGGAGGTTCCTCCCTTGCCCTCAATCTTAGCAAAACCTTATCTCCGCCCGCTCTACAGCCCTTTGCCCATCTCCAGCGGGGCGCCGGTGTTTCACCCGGGCTTCTGCCGGTCCGTGGAGACGTCTCCGTCGGGTACTCTCCTCTGCCGGGCAACTCGGTACGTCGAGACTCTCTCCCCAGGGCAGATTCGAGCACCTCGACCTCAACTAAACAATAACGACATCTTACGAGAGCCTTGACATAACTATACGAATCAACCCGAGAGCGTAGCTTCTGAGCAGGGTGGCGACCCGAAGGGAACCAGAAATCGAGAACGCTATCTGTATCGGTAACCGGAGCCACCTTGGTACCGTGATTCGAAAAATCACGTCATCACAAATTATATTAACAATTGTCTACTGGACAAGAACATCTCGCAGAGAATGCAGGATAACAAAGCATCTAAAGCATTAGCAATGTTTTGCTCAACAACAAATATTTCCATTTACATGATAAATAATTTGCTCTAAGGATTTTTTGTTTAGCTCTGTACTTTGTACATCCTAGAAATTTTAAACCTGAGAAGACTCGTTACTCCAGACAACTCGTGATATTCTAGTTGTAATACATTAGAACATTCAATCAAATTATTAATTAGGCATCACGTTATTTAAAAAAAAAATGTTACTCAGACATACCACAAATACTAATCGTAGTCATTTATTTCAAAGTTCGACGAAAGTATTGTACTTGATTAGCTATTCAGTTGCTTCACGCAAAGATATATTGAATAAACTCATATTTACCTTAAACTAAAACAGTGCTCCCTGCAGGACCGTAAGTAATTCTATACGTTCTTCAACAATTGGCTGGTTAATCAAAAAACTTTCTCAAGACTAAAACTTACCTCATTACCATCTTTACCAAACCTTCTGCTAACGTAGCACTTTTGCTTCTATGACCACAATTAAAAGAGAAAAACTTATAAAAATATGAACAACGTACCTTTGCGTCAGCAGTTTGCGGTAATGTTGATACAATAAAATAAAGTCTTATGAGGTACTTCGAAAATATTTTGACTTTTTAGCATTTTCCAAGAAATTGACAAATACGTAAATAAGCTAAAACGAAACTTCAAAGTTTCTGTGAACCGATTATTAAATCGAACTTATCTAATTAACATTTAACGAGGATGAGAATAATAATACAGAGACAAGCTATGCGTTCGCATAAAGTAGTTTTTTATTATCGTATCATGAGACATTATCCTATCCAGGGAATAATCTCTGATATACATATACACATATATATATATGTCTATACGCATATATTTGTATATATATATATAATTCTAATAAACATGAACAATAATAAATATAGTGTATACAAGAACCTAAGGAAGTCTGCAGCTAATCAGGACGCAGCATAAAAACGATGCACCTGTCACATTCTCGTTATAGACATTAACGAATTTTCTTTCTCCTTTTGATTTCAAAGTACACTGACTAATAATTTCGCTTTTATCAACGCAATTATCCGATTTACAGCTGTACACTTGGAGACACGCCTTATTCGACTCCCCACCATTATGGTCTCACGTAAATAAATCCTAAAGCAGATCCGAAAAGTAATGACATAGCCACATAATAAATTTGAATTCACAATAATAAACACATAATAAATAATACACATAAACACATAATAATAAATCCCAAGACTTTGATTCGCGAAGGTCAAAAATATTTTTGAATATCTAAACACTTGATGCACGAATTTAGAATTTCACCGAGAGACAAAATATTTTCATAAACAAAATTTTTATTACGTAAGACAATAACGATAAGGAATCGCATTTCCATCTCAACCGTAACGTTAACGAAGCTACATTATTCTTTTTTTGTAATACTAAACGACGATTCTTCTACAGTCCGTTTACTCGAAAATATTCAAAGCGGAGGCTATCGTTTTGAAAAATTATTTTCCAAAACGTTAGCCCCCACAAAACCATCGTGTTCTCCTTGCTCGCCTTCGAATCGTTTGACTTCGCAATAATAATAAATAGAGGATCGGCACGTCAATGTCTTTGTGATTGCAGAATTAGTAACGTGTTTCAACGTTACCTGCGAAACGAAGCGTTTACGTGACTTTTACGTGAGTCGTATAGCTATAGGTACGGTCAATATCATTCAATCAGTCCCTACCATTAATCTCACACAATTTCTCCCGCGGTGTTACAGTTCCTGTTTCTATGCTGAATTGTAAAGTATCCAGCTGAATCGAACGATCGGTCGTCACAACCGTAGCAACATTTGACAAAATACTTTGCGTCGGTAATAACGAATAACAAAGGGTACGTTCGAAAGCGAGTTTCCATGAGTATGCTATACAGTTACCATATGCCTTTGACAATAGCGATGTGATCATTCAAAATTCACGTTGCTTCGAATAGAGAACGAAGTAACGATCACTTTCGTTAGATGAAATTTAATAGAATTCGAAATACTTCGATATTACATTGAGCATCGAATGCTACTAAATCGTAAGGCAATCTCAAATTCCATGCGAGCGCCATTAAATCATTTTCGCTTTCCATCTGACCTACCCTCTAATAAATATCGTTAATTACAGTATTGCACATCGACGAAACGAATCTACGTTTATCTCACAACACGGTCAATACCTTCTATATACAGTTCTGCTTCAATTTTTTTTTTTTTTTCATTTCTTCCTTTCCTTCACTTTTTTTTCCTTCTTTTCATTTACTTTCTTATCTTTCGCATCGTTGTAACTTTAGGGAACATGCTGACAAGATAAATCAGATACCAACGAGCTGATTACAGAAAGATGATTATATATGGAGAACCGTAAATTCAGATTGTGAAATAATTCAGTCCGAGATGTCAGCAATATCGCTTATCGAGTGCTGAAATAGCGCGCGAATCTCTTATCGAAAATAATTGCGGATAATGCAGAACGAGGTATAAAGAATAGCACGATTTAAATACCAAAAGTGGCATATCGTTCAATTAGCCGCATCATTCATTGCGGATCAACCGAACGTCACGAGACATCGATATAAATTTCTCAAATTTGTATAGTATAAATAAATTTAGGTATAAAATAAAAAAAATGCTTTATCGACCCGATCGAAATAATCGCCTGCCATCTAAGATTCTCATATGTGGTCGGCTCGTTGAATAATAATGAGCCAATGGCAGATCAATGAAGCATCGAATCATCGTGCTAGTATGACTATGTCTTTACATTATTCGGCACTCGCAGCGGTACGATAGTACGAACGATTATATAATATATTGTCATTATTCGAATTAAAAGTAAACGAGAGTGGCAAGTTCCCCAATAGTCTGTTATAGAGACGATTAGATCGTGATTACGTTATTAATAAGACTACCTGATACTTTTTATAAAGGAAATAAGAGAGACAGAGAGAAAGAGGTGGATATTTATAATATTGCTGCACTATTGAATTTAAGCGAGGGGATGTGCCCTCCCTATCGTTATGCAAGCAGTTCACCCTTTATCTTGAAAATCAATAGGTATAGTATCATAACACATCCCCTTGAGCCTACCTCAATAAGTATTACGAGAATTTATAGTATATAGCTTTGCTTAGCACTTTATTTAAAATAAACAAAGATCGATGTTAATGTTTTTCGTGGCTTGCGAATCTAACGGAACCAGCTCGCAAAATACATAGGTGCTTTGATCAAATCCCCTTGATAGGGATTTACGCCCCTCGATGGCATCGACACGTTATACGATATTGTATATATGTATATATATATATAATTGCGAACGAGTAAAGGCGAAACATGACTGTAATACGATTTCCTGATTATATATTAAAACAATAAAAAACGATTAATCGCGCCAAATTCTTTGCGAAAGGAACTCTCTCGTTTCTTTGGGTATATAACCTATAGCGATATTATTCCTTAGCGGAAAAGACGTCACCATCAAAGTTCAACGAAATTTGGACCGCAGTCTTATTTTGCCTGAGCGTGATTCGTTAAAACGGACCATTACTTAAAAGTTACCGTTTGAGGTTTTATTCATAAATAAAATACAATAAAAAGTTCTCCGGTACGCAGTCGATTAATATTATTATGCACGAATAATTGCAAATATGATAATCCTATGACGTTTCGTTCGATGAATCCTGCGCGCTTTGAGAGAAAATTAAAATCACATACCAGAGTAGACTATAGAATAATTGGCTGATTAAATGTACGATTAAAAACAAGCTAATCAATGAGGAACGATATTAATGTCTTGATATTGATAATCGAATGATAGTATCACTATGGATGTGCGATTTCGTGGTTTTTCAATTTAACTGGCAATATTTTAATCCAGCTGCTCCATCTAATCTCCAGCCTCCCCCTCCAGCCTCTCGTTTATCCACGAAATCATTTTATTCCTTAATAAATATCTATTCTGTCTAATCGATATTAACGTTATAATTCTTCACCTCTACCGTTATAATACATAATGACGTGCGATTGGTACCGAAGTGAGCCTGAATCATCGTGGCAGCTTGTGCTTATCGTGAAAATTCTTCCTTGTCACGATCCGCGGGACTAGTCTGTGTGTGTGCCATTATTTTCATCAGGCTGAATGTTTGGTCCGAGAATGAATATATTTGTGCGAGAGGCATACGAGAATCCCGAGTGGTCCAGTGTTCCACTTTCTGTTATGTCGTTGCACGACCTAAGTCATAAACGGATCTCGAGTGCGAGAAACTGAAGTTTTATCACAAGAGACGTACACGGTATAACGTTATTCGATAATATTTCCATATATATATCATGCTACGTCTATCATTCGCTATAGGACTACGCGCATTCGCTGCCATTGCTACACAGTGGCTTCTGAGCCCTTGAATGATCCGCCTCTATTCCGACGTAATTGAAAATGCATTTCTTTTTCAATAAAATGAAATTCACAAAAATTATGTGACAAGTTCTTCTTATTTTCCCTGTTCTCATGCGCTTCGTAACGAATGAAACTAGATATTAAATTGGTGTTTGCGAATTGGCGTGGAACTGTTTTTTGAAAAGAAAACTTTGCTTTGTTTTTAATTACGTCATTTTATCAGTGCACAGGACGGACATTCATACTTTTATTAAATAAGAACTAACACGAATGATGCTCCCGTCCCGTTGACAAATACACTAGTAATATGCTCATCGTTTAATACCGCTACTCCCTGTATAATTTTTTTTTTCTTTTTTTTCTTTAAAAAAGAATTTTTTATTTGATTGCTGCGATCCATACTTCGGTAAGAGTACTTCTAGCAATGTCGTGCCGTACGCATTATTTTTCGCACTGCTCCGCAGTTATAAATAATTCGTCCCTACGTGAAAACAATGCGTCATCACCTAATCGAATATTTGGCATTTAGGCTGTGTTACCTTTCATCAGTTCTACAATAGTCTAAACGACTTTAAGTTCGTCATGTAAAAACCAAGTCTTGCTTGCGGCTTCGTGTCACTGACAAGTCTGCTCGTCACTCGATTGCAACATATAGAACTATTAATAGAATGTATAGTAATGACGTCAGACGCGAAGAATATTTAATAGAGACATATCTCCTTTGTTTTTAATAGACTCCCCAAAACTTTGGTTAACTTAACTTTTGTTTGCCACAAGAAATATAGTACAGTTTTGTTGACTCGGTAAGTGCTAAACTGGCACGTTGAATTCGAAATAGCGACAAATTTTCACAGAGTGTACTGCGTGGAATTTGATGAGAAGCCAATGAAAATGAAGCAGGCATAATTGCTGTTTCATTGGCAGGTCAGAAAGTACCTTCATCTTCCCTTGAAGGCAATATTTTGCGAGACAAAGGTTCTCTTGACATTAACGTCATTTAATTGACAATAATGACTGTTAAGAATGCTTCGCTTCTGACGCCATCATTTCGTGTAAGTGAGCCATGTTCCTGCATGTAGAATTGATTAACGAGCAGCCTAAAATCAGACTGCATCGTGTTTGCTGTTAGACACGTCTTGCATTAGACCACCACTGGCACGAAGATAATTGCCATCAAACGACATCGCGATATCAAAGGAGCAGTCGCTGACATACGAATGACGTTAAGGCCGATTCACGCCATCTGGTTAAGCGAAGCGAAGACAGTGTTACGACTGATAAAAAAAAAGGTCAATAAAAAACTTTCGAGTCACTAGTCTAATTATAATAGAAATATCGGAATTAAAGACACGATATATGAAAGGTGACAAAAATTCGTGGAATCTCGTAAATAACAATAATAAATACAGTCATACCTATAATCATCAGTAACGATGATTTCATGAGGTTAAAAAAAACATTCGGTAGAAATTTTCAGTTTAATAGACACTGGAACAACAAATTTCTTATGGCTCGAAAAAAAATGCAAAACATGTTGATCTTCATGCTCACATTCATCGAAGTCGACATACCTTCGGCTTTCTGCCCTGTATTCCCAAGAGTCTGAAATTCAAAAAAAAAAAGCAGACATATCGAAAGCTATGTCGATAATCGATCGGACCTTCGCGTTGTCGGCTGATCAGGTCGTGCGAGTCTGAATGACGAGAATAAAAGAAATTCGTATGAAAAGAATATGACTCGGCCTTCGGCTGGTAGTCGATACGAGAATCTCGATATTCTCTCTATGCTAATGCAGATCTCATGTCTAAAAGAGATACAACCCAGCATGACGCGCACGCGATACTTTGGTACAGCCGTATTCTATCAATAAAGTAAACTTTATTGAACGTCACTACGTTACTTCATTGTCTCGGTATAATTTTTAAATGTAAATTTAGTAATACAAAGTGTGCGTATAACCACGAAGTGGAGGTGTATTTTTGGCAGTTCAGTTTTCGAAGACGTTCTTCGGTCGCGTCGGGCGATGCACGTGCTTAAACGAAAGCATAGCGCATGCGCGGGTGCGACGCCGCGAAATTCAAACACTCTTAATCGCGGTTCGCTCTCCTCTTTGGTTTTCCTTTCAGCGGTCACGAGCCACGTGCCGTACCGACTGATTAATATACATCTACAAGATCACGCGACGTAATCAAAAATCAAAATCTCATTACTCGCATAAATCGTAATCACTTTTTCAAATATCACTACGTCAATCGCAATAGCTTTTAGGCTCATTCGTCCAATAATAGGGCAACGTTCGATGCTGCTTTTTCAAATACATAAGTATACATACGTGTAATATATAGGTATGCACGGTACGCCAGTGGACTTGCTTTAGCTGCACGCTGTTCGTTATCTTAGGTACGTTATTATATACCCGTTCGAATCGCGATGTCGCGATATCCGTGTAATAAATATTAATTCTACGATACTATACCTCCCGGTTACTCAGGAAGACATATGCACTTACATATGTATATACAGATTCGTGAAGCGGCGTGTGACCTTACCACTGTATATATGTATACTCGTAGTAGGCAGTACACTACGAATCAGTACCGGCTGGTGCGCACTGAATCTTGTCGTTAGTCACGGCGATTTGTCTGTCGGATCTATGGAAACGATTTTACAAAAATCATTTTATTCCGAACGTCTAGAACGACGTCAGGTCAAAAAGTTTTTTTTTTTTTTTTAACGAACACCTAACCCGTCCTACATGTTGGACGTGCGTACGCGAGTGCGTTACGAGCATCGATCTACAGGAATGTTTAGAGTTTCTTGAGAAAAATCGCCGACCGACGTGCATCTTCCTAAGAAGTCCAAGGGAAGAAAATCTAGTTCTTAATTATTCGCAATTTCTTTTCTCTCTGGCTATAAAAAAAATTGCGGGTCATCGTAAGCGTTTCGCGAGGCTGCAGTTCCTTTCAAAACAACGATCGCACTTTGACTCACAGCGATCACTTATACCTTTGGCAAATATCTTGGACGCCTTAAAACGGAATATACATCTTTCATCTAGATAAACTCCAATAACTTACCACGAATAAGCGAGGCCGTTGATGTACCAATTCTCACTTAAGGACCGAGCAGTTGACAAATATTTATCGTGCGCATGCGCTGCTCGTTATTTAATCGATTAATCGCTTTATCGATGAAGATTATACGAAAGTCCGGTGGAATAAAATTTTAACAAAACTAACAAAACATTGGCGACTCCGCGGAGCAATTCACGGCTACTTGTAGTTCTTGTAAATTTACTTACAAACTAAAAAAGAGAACAGAACGATTCACGTCGCTAGGAGGTAATAATACAATGAAAAAAAAAGTCAGTTCTATATCTTTTCACGAAAGTAACACGTGATCGAACTTAGTCAAATTCCTGCAGTCGCAGTGAGCGCGCTTCGGATCCCGAAAGTGTAAGGACGAAAGACGTTTCATAGAAAGCGGCCGATCGGAATCTCAATTTTCAACACGAAAAGATCAACCTGGCGCACTAGAGCTCCTCGGAAAGAGCAATGGGAGCCCTGGAGCCCGCTTTCATGTCTTTCACTCCGATGCCGATATCGTCAACGGGCATCGGTGCTAATTTCAGCTGATTGCCATTTATTTTAATATCATTGACCGAATGGGACCGTCCGTGTGTCGCAAGAGGTTTTGTGTTTGGATTGGTGTTGGGACTGGATACCGAATTTGGAGTTGAATAGTTGTTGGAATTAGAGTGCAGATTAACATCTGGATTGAGATTCGAATTGGATGTTGAATTCGAATTCGAATTGGTGTTTGAATTCGAACTAGGATTGGGCTTGGAGCGAGATTTGGGCTTGGGATTTGAATTAGGATTGAAACTCGAGTTGGAATTAGGATTGCTCTCGGGATCATGACCAGAGTTAAATGCTGGCTCTGATGAAGTCGAGAATTTCATTGTCGTAGCCGTTGTCGTACTTGTCGAGCCAACGAGACTCGTCAGCTGGTTAGCTGACTGCGAGCGAATCGCTTGGTTTCCCAATTTGTCCCTCAACGCCATCTGGTAGGCCACCTCGAAGGCCTGGCCCAGTGTCAGAATGACTTCGGTAGCCTGGTCCTGAAAAAAAAGAAGAACGTTTTGGGCCTAAAGTACGTGGCGCCAACGCTTGGGACGTCGTTGGCTCTTCATCGTGCATTTGCTCAATGACTATACTGACCAACGTCCCACAGACGATAATGAAAATAAATACGCGTACATCCGGAACGGTATTCTCTAGTTTTTTTTTAACATAACGAACAATTACCATTGTAGGCACGCAGAACACGTGACAGAAGTGTGTGCGACTCGCGTGATCCTTGGTGATGTATGCGAAGTGCGTGAGGTCATCGGCGTCCTGACATGCACAGTGGATATTGCGAATTTCGTGCTCGCAGATTGGTTCCTGTTAATTCAACGATCAGAATTTAAAGCTTCGATACGAATGACGTTTAACCTTGCTTTTTTGAAAAATAAAATGATCGACCGTAGAAACGCGCGTCTTACCTTGGTGAGGGCGTTCAGAAAACGAACACCGCGAAATGAAATGGCCAAAGTAATGTCGGGTGTGACGCGAGGATCGTGACAGGCCTTTTTTAATTTCTGGATGGATTTCTTCGTTGATTCGGTACCCCGCAACTCCTTGACCACAGTTGAGCCCAAGTACTGTCACATTTAAAATGAGAACACTCGTCACTCGGACCACAAACAAGTAGTCATTGAAGTCCCATCGGAGTTCAGCTGCTAATCGAGGTGAGTAAGTTGATTGACACTTACCTTGGCAACGTAAGTTACGCAGCCAGTGACTAGAGCCTTGGGCTGATGCCTCCATTGAGTCTTCAGAGTAGACGGAACTCCGAAGAGAAGTTCTGATGGGGCTCGTATCTCGAGCTGTTCCGGAGCTGAGATCGCACCATTATGAGAACTTGGTCGCTGAGGTGGTTGGGGCGCCGGTCTGTTTTTACGATGCCTCAAAGTTCCGGTTCCGCTGACGGCGCTCGACGAAGCAGAGGTGGTAGAAGTGCCTGATGTGGCTGAAGTGGCTGAAGTAGTGGAAACATTTGCCCCGCTCGTTAAAGTAGCTCCGTTACCTTGCACCGTTTCTGGCAGTTTCTCACGAATTTCGTCCTTCAGTTGCTGAATATTCGTTTTCTAAAGCGAACGAATAAAATCGAGAAAAAAAAATTCTCATTTATACCTACATACCACTCTGCATCGTCTCGTTCCACGTTAACACGGGAAATCGCTTTTTTAATCCAAGGCTAATATTTAAAGATACATACAATATATCTGTCCCACGATAAAGATTATGGTCAACATGTCAAAAAAAAAAAAAAAGTGCAATTTTGTTTCTCCAAAAATTTACGTAAAATAAGCTAATCGAAAGCCAGCCGATGATCGCGCTTGAAGGTAAGTTATATCACTGAAAAAAAAATCATTAAAGACAAAAGCCAGTATGTGTTCGAGGAGGATGAACTTCCTTAACAAGAGAAAATTGTAAGGAGCGTGAAGAAATGAAGCGTACGAATAAAAATAATGAGCGTACAGAAGTTATCAGTTTGTTAGACGTCGTCGACCGATGATAGATGCTTCACACTTATTGGCTGAATTTAATAAGCTAATTAAGAGAGCATGATAAAAGGATAAGTGCCAATTGGTACGGGTTGTCGCGGTGGAAAAGTCGCAAACAAAAACATCAGGCGCCGCTCGAACGGTGAGACTGAAAGGTTGCTGAAGTGTCGGCGTCGCACAATGCGAAGTCTCCAATTAGCCAGAATATTTACATTATAACACAATGCAGTGTGATCGAACGAAACGTTCGATACGATTGGGGCTGTGTGTGTTCCACCCTCTCGCTCAAATACACCGTGTTAATGAACAATCTCATCCGCCGAAGAAGACTTGTAACCGCTGCTGCATCCTGCATCCCTACCGCGTAGCGCCTTCATCGCCCTGAATCGTATTTGCACGAGAATTCCAAATGCTGATACGTCAAGTGATTCGCAAAAATGGCATAAAAAATACGCACAACTGTCCACCTTGACTATTTAGATTTCATTTTCTCAATCCACAAAATAGTTATTGTTATCGCCATTGACATAAATAATTATTAAAAAAGTTGTCCATCAAATCGAAACATGCTACATTTTACGACTCACCAGCGTATTCAGATCCTTGTTGAGGTCCTCGAGATTGGGACCACTAGTACCATTGCGGGTCTGAACTCGCGAATTGGGCGCACTGACAGAAGCAAGAATGCGTTTTCGATGAGCCGGTTTTTGAATTTCGAGGACGGCTGCCAGCTCAACCTCCCAAACTCGACGTACTCGTTCCATGTCAGTATACAGGTGCTTCCTGAACGTTTCCGCATAATTCTCCAGATGTATGCTTTTCAACCACTCGTCGACAGACTGGCTGACCGTGCCAGTTCGCTTCTCCAGCCGTTTTTCCAGTTGACCAGCCGCACTCATTATCATGCTGCGCTCATTCTCGCTCTCAATGCCCATATCTTTCAGATCCGACTCGTCGAGTATTCCGTTCTTATAAAAAAAATCATCAACGATCAGTATAACTATCTCGCTATCAATTCGTGAGCGTTCGTCGTGTAGATTATCGAATACTTACTACATATCCAAGATCATCGAAACCATAATTCACAAATAATGATTCGTAGTCGGAGAGACTGATACTAGAGAGCCATTGGCCTACAGAGGTAGATACTATAGGGCTGCTGCTGCTCTCTGAGCTGAGACCTAAAAGACCAAAGAGAAATGACTTTATGAGTTTCCGAAGCGCAATCGTACAACGCGTTCTATTACGACAGGTTTGATTTGTCCCGAGATGAAGAAAAGGAAACGAAACGCAATACGAGATCTCGAGAGTAGGGAATGGCGGGACGATAATCTGGTGGCAATAATTCTCGAAATTCTTTCAACTGGGTACTCGGTGGCGCGCTTGGTCATCATCTGACATATATGGACGTATATATATATAATAGCCTGCATATATACGCGACACGAAAATTTGATCAAGGACTTTTAAATTACCTAGCCTCGTTTGAAATTCCTTCTCGATCTCGGTCACAAAGACGGATTCTCTTACGAGACCGGTACCAAAAGAGGCCATGATCTCTGAAATCTTGGCCCACTCTTCCTGCTCGTCGAAAGGACTCATTATGCTAAGAGACTTCTCGTCGCGTTCACGATCACGATGAGACAACCGGAAGGCAATGTCGCCGTCCTCGAGACGTTCGGCTGCACAGTCGGTTCCGGTTCCGGTTCCCATTGCGCAGCCACTAGGCGCATAAACGTTTCGCAATCGCCGTAGGGTGCGTGGACGCTCAGCTGTGACGGAACCCTTCAGCAAACCTGTTAACAGAGAAAACCGATCGATCGGTGTTAAACGCTTGCCAAATATCGTGTTCGCCTGTCGCACGCGATTCGGAACACCTCTCGCAGGACCCACCCAAACCGTCACAACATTTGAACGCTTTCAAACCATTTCACCAGCAAGACCACAACTGAAAACAAGCAGCGCACCTATCGGCTCTTTTTGTTCGGACAGACTTTACGAACGCCGAAAACAGGAGTTGCGTTACAGCTATGTCGAAACGTTCGGAATCGCGTGGCCGTCAAGTTTATCATTGAATCGACTAATGGAATTGATGTGGTTGCACGCTCTGTGCTTTCGGTCCATGTCTATTTTGACGATTGAACAGTGACAAAGCGGACCGACGAAAATACACGGGAGAATATTAATTAAGTTATTGGAATTCCTCAATGTCTACGGTAAATTTAACGGAGACTTTAAATACTAATAAATTACGAGGTTCGAAATTCAAAATGACAATTTAATAGAAATATATTTAAAAAGTACGTAAGACTTGTATGAAAAAAAAAAAATGTCAGACATACAATCGATTGTTAATATCGGTGACTGCTGATTCAATGTTAAATCTTTTAGATGATGGTGGTGGTACTGTGCGAGGAAGCTGGGAGCTTTCAGCAGTGATCGCTTTAAAATGTGTGGATGGGCTCGTTATAAGATAACGTAAGGTACGGTCAATTCGTATGAACAGCACGATTCTTTCATACGTAAATATTGTGCAGACCCTTGAGCTTTTCTCTCGCGAAACTTATTACTCCCCGCATTATTTCACAGCTCCGGAGGACAATTTGTTTCAGCACACAATCCCGTTCAGGGTGATGAAATTTCTTTTACATGAATCCCACGAATGAAAATTTACTTGGTGAGCTACGTGCTGCCGAGTCGGGTAAGCAGTGTCTGCCTTTCAAAGATGGTCTCGCGTATACATCCGCGCGTAATGAAAAGCTCATAAAAATACTAAATAGAGAGGCTCGCGTTACAAGCACAAACGTACGTAATTTTAATTAAAGCTCCATGACGGAAGGCGTCGCTTGCCGCCTCTTGCTTCAACCCCACGTTATATTATGTAGGTAGTTATACAAGTCATATACGTAAATTACATAAATCTCTATGGCGCTGCTATCCTCGTGCAAGGCAAGTCAAGTTTCACCGGAGTTTCATTACGTAACAGTTCTTCGCTTCGACGAAGGATTCCGAGTGCGTTTAATTGTGTACTTTGTCGTCGCTTCACCGAATACGAAGAATCTTAATTTATCTTATTTCATGCTGGTACATCAAATTTCACTTTAATTAAATCAACACTTTTATTTATACTTTTTACGCTTGCCGCAATGCATATTTTTATACATTTTATGTACATACTTACCTATCTGTACGATTTATGCTACAGGCTACAATACGGTCATACGCTAAAGCGTTATTTCGTTGATCACAGTGTTAAAGGTAGAGGAGGTTCAATTTACAGTGACTCACATCGAAATCTCCTACGTTCTGATTAATTAGCTAGGATATAATTTCAATTCGGCGAATACTCGTGCAATGTGAAAAATTCGTCAATTTCGTCGTCTGTCAGTTTAAGGAATTGGACGGAATTAATAGAATTAAGTAATTGCTGTTCGGTCTTTGAAGTACGTTGGAAATTTTTTATTTTTTTTTTTTTATAAGGGCTTTATTAATTTCTTTTTTTTTTCGTGTTATATCATTGGACCGCCCTGCGCTTACTTCTTAAAATAATACTGTTGATGTATATAACATCTCATCGGAAACAAGAAATAGGTGCAATTACAAAGTTTTAATAGGGATCAATTACGTGCATGCTTTTGAAGAATTGACATACGCGAACGTTTTGATGAAATAATAGAAAATTGGGTAACGATCAGTAACTACGGTTTATGACCATTAAAGTCAGCCCCACATAAACGGGCGCTTGACATGCTCGACGGTAATTGGCCGTCAGAGCATTTTAGACGACATTAGAGATGAACGAGGTTTAAGAGGGACTTGTATGGTGCAGCCGATACCTTCGCAAATTACTGCCCACTCGATACGAGCTGCAGCAAAGCTTTGTATCAAAAGCTGCGACGGACCATGCGTACAATTGCCAGCATCGTTTTCGCTCCACTGGACGTACGTACGGGTCGTTAACTTCACGTATACAACCACTGTACTTATTCCTATGTTTCCACCAGAGATATGAAACCCAATTTATAATATTAGGATAAAATCAGATTGAATTACATCGAAATAAGCATGTATCAATATCTTTTTAATACTCGAAAAAGATAATGGTATTATTATAATGATAATTTTTACCAGTTTTAAGGATATTTTCATCAACAATATAATTTACTTCACAACACACGTTAAGTAAGAGCGCTTCTACCTTAACATGTATTTTAAGCTCGTGACCGAAATACCTCAATCGCATTGCGTGCGTTATTAAAAGATAGGAGAAACCAAATTTTCCGTGAAAATAAATACCATGAAAAAAAAAATGTAAAATCATAAAATTCATTTCCAAAAATTTTCCAAGCTAAAACAATAATTATTTAATTCGCAGTGCGTAAAACTGGATTTGGATTCTTATACGATATGTGAAATTTGAAAAAAATTGTATGTCATTCAATTTAGATATATTCAGCTATGAACGATCCTTGTGTCACGAAGTGAAAATAATGAAGGAAATAAAAATATCATTTGCGGTCTTAATGATGACGTGAATTTTAACAATGGATAATTAGCTGACAGAAGAATGCATTTTGCCGAGATATATGTAGACACTATGCACCGCACTTGGTCGACCGATCGTTCGAGCAATTGAGACTAATGGACCATGTTGGCTCTCCACTCTCATCCATAAATTGCATCAACACCCGTTGACCAATTATTTATCAGTGACAACTCACTACGGACCTACAGAAGTTCGTTGAAACGGAGTATAAGAAACCGTGTTGGAGATAAACATATTATACATCGACTCGTGCAGACTTTTGTTATTCTAGAAAAATGTTGCTATAGGATACAATTTCAATAACACATTTCAGCAATGCTACGACAAAGATGGGATACGCCTATTTTTTATGTATATATATCTGAGCTCAATTACACGATTCTTTCACGCCCAATGATAAACGTACAGTAATCATAGAACAATAATAATAGTCCCATTTATCTAAAACTAATGCAATTATCTAATAACTGTATAAAGGCTGAAATCAGATTTGTCATCGAACTCATTAAATGGAGAAGGATTATATGTTCGTTGCCGCAATCACGTAACGTTCAACATCCCGTGTATTTTGGTAAACGTTCTACGTATAGCTACACTTTAGATACCATCGAATGTAAAAATAACTTGGTAGGTTCCTCGAACAGTGAATTCCACTCATTTTTTGTAATTCTTTTAGCGTTTTAACCGGAACTGTGCCGAATCGTTCAAGGCCCACGCGTTAACCTCAATGTTCTTATTTCGGATCGTTAGAAATAACCGTGATTGCATTGGTACCTTGATTCGATTTTCTTCAAGTGAATTTTTGTTTTCCATTCTCACGTAATCGTGAGTGCAAGTTTAATATGTAATTCAGTGAGAATTCAATTAGATTTACGATCATTCGTTTATAGTCGAAAATCGAATAGAAACGACAAGTGTGCTGTGGTTTAAAATTTTTGATATTTCAGCATTACGTATTGTAGATTACGCTGCTAATGTGAAATACTAATACTGTATCTTTTACACAACTGTACCAAATTTAGTTAGATGAAAGTAGACCGTTTTGGAATACGAGCACAAGTATTACATAAATGTTTCAATTGAAGATAATAAAATCATCCACGGGTTTTACGTGTTTTCCTAGCAACCTGCTGATTATCAGTACCACATTAATCTCATCTGACTCTATCTATTAATCAAGATTTCAAATGACTGTAATATGTCCATGAGTAAAATATTTTTCCTTAATAAATACAAAACAATGAATTCGGATCAAGCGACACGTGACTGCAAAAAATTTACGTTTCTGATAAGTACTGATAAGTATAATTACCGATAAGTATGGAATTGCATTGAAATATATTATCAATTTGCTCTTTATCGTATAATTTAAAAATTTTATGGAAATATATCAGTGGCTCGAATTAAAGATTTCATCGTGTTTGAATTGTCCAAAAAACACGCTACTCGTGCACTGACCACATTTAAACGCCTCTTAGTAAATATGAGCTGAAAGTGTAATTACTCCAATATCTTCTTTATCGTTTTAATCGGTTAATGATTGGAGACATGTAAACATTAAAACACACGGTGAACGAAATGTAACAACTTGTAATTCGGGTGAAAACAAAAACATACGCATACCAAAAAAAAAAAGGTTTCAAAAATAGAAAATACGTATAAGTAGCTCAAAAATATCCGTGTCAACATAACACGACATAAATATCTCAGCAATCTCTTTGAATTCGATACTCATAATAAATAAAAAAGAAATACTATAATTTTTAACATGAAATGTCAGCAGCCAACAAAATACGTATAAATTATGATATTATAATCGTCAAATTTCATACTGAACATTCGACTAAAACCTAAGTACACGAACCGTTTTAAATGGAATTTTAACAGTATAATCGTAAATATAAAATATATATCAGACTTGCTAACTGAATATTATTTTTTTTTCCAGTAGTTTCAACAGCTACTTTCGTGAGTCACACTTCATTCCACCACAGCACCGCGCGAACTGTCAAGCTCTCTAAAGTCCTTCTAAAGTTAACCAATTAAAGATCGTTTAAGCTAACGAGAACATGACGTCTGCATAAAACCGCACATTTTTGTGCATACAAAAAGATCCCAGAAAAGAAAACTCATCAGCTGTCTCAATCGTTCTAGAGGGCAGCATTAAAATAATTAGAAACACATATATTAAATTAAAAGCCATAAAATAAACATCAACGATTAATATATTATCCAATATACTCTATGTATACCACATTTGTCATAAATTTAACACAGCTAATACCTACATACATAATTTTATTCGCCCACTCTCATTGTCTACAATGAGTTCCACTTAATGTATAAAGTGAGTTGTACCGTTCTACAAGTAAATTTCTCCATAGCGCAATTCAAGTATCGTACCGTATAAGAAATTTAAAAAAAATGTCGTGCCAATTTGAAAGCCTTGATTACTATAAGTATTGCGTCAAATGAAAAAAATTAGTCATTTAAAGCCAGCAGACAATCTAAAAGATTCATATTGAAGAATGAAAAGTACTTTCAACATAATTGTTGCAACTGCTAGAACGCTTATTAGGATACGCGGTAAGCCATTAAGTACCTCTCCAGACCTGTTTTCGTTGTATTTCCATCGGCACTTGTTTCCGTTGCAACGAAGCGAAACATTGAACTTCCGCCGACTGGTAACGACAGTCTGGTCGCGCCATTCGGAACGGAAGTAAATTTTAAATGCACTGCAAGTAATATAGGCGCGCCAAGATATTAAAGTGTAATTATAGAAAGGTATAGTACGTGCAGAAAAAAGTGTTTTTGCGATTATTAGAGGAACAATTTGTATTTCGGCAATAACAAATTCTAATGCAAAGAAAAGAATCCTACTCTATAAAGTAGACGGAGGTAAAACTGAATACACGAGTAAATAAACTAACGTCAGTTTCTTTAAAAAAAAAAAGAAAAAAACAATTTCCTACGGGAAAAAAATCAAAGAAATTTTTAATAAAAATTATAATTGTTAAGAAAATGTAAAAAAAAAAAGACTGAAATTTATTACGTTAAACACAACAGGATTTCCGATTCCAATGGAAATGACAAAGCAATTGACTCGAGGTTACACTGTTAGCACGTGGCACGGTTCCTCATTGTCCTAGCTTTCTCCTGTAAACACGCGGGCAATTCACTTCGTCTCTTTCCCACTCTCTTCTATCCTCTTCCTTTGCACTCTCCCTTTCTATTTTATTCTCAATGCTTCTCCTGCCTCTCTCTCTTTCTTTCACTCCCTCTCCACCTAACCATTCGAACCGATTGTAACAGTATGCGTAGTACTGAATCCCCACTGCAAACACATGTTGCCACTACACAATTGCCGGTCGATTCTTTACCGGCATTTGCCATTTTACATTATAACGACGTGCTGCTTGACAACGATTTCCTCGAGCAATTTACGCGAAAGTAGGTGCATACCGTTAAAACGTATCTAAAATATTCCCTAGAATCACCTGTTATGTAGCACGATATCAGTATCTTGAAATAACAGCCTAGAACTCACTGTAGAGAAGGCGCCCAATCGTATCGGTGTACTGGCCGGTAAACAGCAGCAGCAGAAACAGCAGCAACACCGTCGAAGAGAGGTCGAGGTCAGTCACGTCGCGCACAAGTGCCTTGTAGCTCGTAGACGGTGAGCCATACAATAGAGCGGATGGGCGGACGGTTAACGAGACGACTAATTCGAAGTAACCGTCAAGCTAGCAAGTGAAGACGGGAACGGACCTCGATGCTCGCCACCCGCACTCAAACTGACTGCCGTCACAACTCGCTACTAGCCTCAGCCGAAGCCACTAGCTTACTAGCTCGCTAACCGCACGGAAAGATGACCCAAGATATGGGACGGACTGGGTGTCTCTGGGTCTCCGCAGCAAATTACTTCCTCGCGTTGGACTGCGTGGTCGAGTGGGGCCTTAGTCGATGGGGAGGGAAGCTATCGTCGTGTTGGGCCTCCGGGCCCCGAACCCTCCGTTGAACGCGATACTCTTCGTTTGGGCCCGACTGGCTTATCGCACGAGAAACACGATGGGCACACTACAACACTACACTCCTGAAAGATCGCGGATTCTCCAAAAGATAAATTTTCTCCTGGAACTTAAGACATGGCTTCTCGTAAGTTGAGGCGGTTTTTCGTGAAATTTAAACTGGTTTTCAGTGATATAATAACGAGTAAATAAATGACTCGGTGCAGCTTCTTCGAGCTCGTGAAGATCATAGAATCAGCAATGTTTGGCAAATATAAGACGAAGTTGATGCTATTGATAGTGCATTACTGTTGGTAATTGTGAGACCATCGAATTTCTTCATACCATGTTCGACCACCGGACGATACTGACTTATATCTTTTAATGACGTTAGTCAACAACGTACATAGGTGGAATACATTTGTAGATAAATGTCCGATTGTACTAACAGTGTAGATCAAGAAAAACAGAATTGAGGCAACGTTCAAGAAGTAATTCATTGGTAATTAGAAGCACCCATTATAAAGTGCAAGATGAAAATGATAAGGATAGGGCGCCAAGAAAACTTGACACGGCCCTGAAGATAGGAATTGAACGACACAGCCGGCACGATGAGTACTGTTGTGTGTTATGGCGCCTGCTTACGGTCGGTAGGAATCCGTTCCAGCTGACAAGGCAGGAGCATTGTAATATCTATGGATAACGTAGAACATGCCGCAAAATGCGCAGGTAAATCTGATCCGCTCCGTAAGTCTTTCAATGACGTTTAAACTATTGACCTATTAAAGTGTAATAAAAACGACTACATTTTCTTCCCTTCTCAACCTGATCACGTGTCTTTGATTCGTTGCAACTGTAAACATTGCAGGGTAAGTGGATTGCACATTTTTCTTCTATTTAAAACAACAGGTAAAACAAATCTCAACAATTTCACTGTATCTAAAGATAAATACGTATAATATAAAGCAAATATTAATTACTCTTCTGACAATGTCAATAATAACAAAACATACATATCCGGCTGGTACGATAATACCATTATCCAAACTAAAACAATTTTAATTATATGGATCTTTCGCAATTACCCCAATCGCTCAGCAAAACATTGCTCATCCGCACTATAATCACGATACCGTAAGTCATTCAAAAGACTAACTCAAGTTCTTTCCTAGAAAAGTGTATCTCTAATCACAGTTAACAAAGGTATCTGTTACATAAGTTTTGTACTCATATCGTGACACTGCTTTTTCATGAAACTGTTTATAACATTGTGCTGGGTTATTCCCTGCCGCTCTCAAGCCTTATTATGACCCATCCAAAGTTAACCTAACTTTTTCCAGTACCCATACCGCGCTACCATTATTGGCAATATTTATCACAAAGAAGAGAAATGTTCGTGGCGACATATTCGATTGATCCGTCATACGTATATATTTTTTGTATTGGTATTCGGGAGTGTATGCATTTAATATGGCCGTGGAGTGATCCGGCAAGAACGATAAGCTAACCTAATAGCTGCGAGGAACTTCTTAACCACTTAGCAATCGCGCATAATTGACATCCGTCGCCTGCATACCTTTTATCGACTGTAGTACGTGTTGTTAATTATAATCGCGTCACACCTTCGGTACACTCCTATCGCGTATCTCTGCATCGAACAAAGAAGAGGTTCTCATCGAAGAGTTTTCACTGCTTGACAGAAACAGAGCCGAGCGACAATACTCGCGTGACTCATGACCCGCGCGCCACGCATTCCTACGTGATGTCATACGGACTGGCTCACATACGAAACGACATTAAACGCTCATTCTTAATCAACGAATTGACTTTTTTACAAGTACACGTTCCAGGAACTATTTTTGAGTTCCAGCTACCATGAACTGTTATGTAAATTTTTTACTTTATATTGCGAGAGCATTATACCTAATATGCATGAGCTTCGTTCTTTTGGACAACATTCATTTTATATTTGTTTAATAGACCTTTGTTACCTCTTTATGCCTCTGGAAATGCCACTTCAATCCGAATCGATGATAAGAGACCGTAATGAAAAATTATTGTTATCGCGCATTTTTCATTTACCATTATTATCGACATCCTCTTCGAAACATTATGTTTTATTACTCTTTGCATTAGTGAAATATTAAAAATAATTATAAAAGTTGGTTATTTTAGGGACAAATATAGAATTAAGGGGGAACTCGTGTAGAATATCATTGTTAATTTTTTTATCTAAACTGTCAACAATACACAAATTTTATGATCGTCAATAATTCAACCGTCAATTCATCTAAAATTAAATATCGTTGGTAACAAGATCTCAGATTCGTACAACAGAAGGTCATGATTTCATGAACTATAAGTATATGACTTCTCTACCGAAACGATATTCGGTTCACCACTGAAACTTAAGGCGTTGCTCGTGAAGCGTGTCGATGCACTTTAACGTGTGATTAAAGAGATAACGTAAAATAATAATAATATAGTATCACTTACAGGTTGTGTAAATCGTATCGAAAAAAAGTCCTTGAGCTAATTAATCGTATCGGCATAACTTAAAACAACATGACAAGGATACAAATTCTAATTAATTATTTCCAGCTGAATGCATAAGTTATATGGGATACATTAGTATGCTAAATTTTAATGTAGAAAATATTTATCATAATGACAATGAAACCATAAGACTCAGATAAATTCTAAATTGAATTGTGCATATTATATTGCATTATTAAAATTCGCAGTCGCAAAAAACAGCTCAAGCAAAAGCTCGTGCGCAATTACTGTGAATAAGTACAGTGAATAGTTCACCCTTGTATACGCAAGGACCCAAAATGTAGGCTACGTCGTAGCACATGGTTCTCCATTACATATAACATAAAACACAGTCGGCAGCATCCCTCGCGATGGAAGCAGACTAAAATTTACTTTGTGATAAGTTTACGGAAATGGGCGTTTTTACCTACCACAGTTTGCTTAGCTAACAACGCAGGCTGCGTTTTCTACCGTTGAGAGGTTCGACCCAGATAGTTGCTGCTGCCGCTTAAGCCAGGCAACTCAGATGGCACTTTTGAGAGCAACATAGGAAAACAAATAAACCTAGGTATTCAAAGGTCAATGTCTACAAGTAGTGAGAGTTTGAAGGAAGTACAGTGGCGAAGACAAATTTCTGGGTTTTTCGTCTTTTCGTATATGCGCACATGGGTCACGTGAGTCATCGATTCTTAATCAAGCGATATCAAGGAAATAGCAACGTGCGTGTCACTACGAGATTAACAAGAGTTTGGGCATAAGCGGAAGAAAATTGTTTTCAAATTTTTCGAATTACACTCGGAAGTTTCAATGGATAAGTCAGTCTTAGAAGTTGCAATGGCAATTTGTTATTAACTATATGAATAGGGCGATATAAGCCAAGACTGGTAATATTCATATGACATAAGATATATGAGAGCTATTGATAAAAATATTGAACAGTCAAAAACGATATTATATTTAATGTAGTTGGAGTAGTATAGATGAAAAAAACTTAAACGGGGAAAATTATTGATTGATGATTCTTTATCTTGGCAGTACGCGATTTATGAATTACCACTGTCAATCTATGCATGACTTACCGAAAATTGTGATACTGCATCTTATTATCTTCTTATCACTTTTGCTACAATTCAATATTCACTGTAAGTAGAAATATTAGGACTTTGATCGAAAGTGGATGGAATGTAAATGTATGTATTTCAATGGTATATCAACAGTATGTAAAAACGACCCTTCGCCTATGCTCTTACCGCGATAACTACCAGTCATAAATTAGTTTCGACATTTCGATAAGCTGGTGCACTTACCACCCGTGAGCTATCTGGCTTGACAGTAGTTTTCTCAAGCGACTGATAGTACTAGACGATTTCAAGAGTTCATAGAACCACAAAAGATGTAATAAGGCAGAAATTCTAGGCGAATCCCACTGTTTACAAAGATCCAATACACGAGGTCTCTTACGTAAGCGACGATAACGATGCATTTGTATGAATTTTTTATATCACTCGAATCCCCCTATAGCACGTCCACGAAGATTCGACGTTTCACGAACAACTGACAGCTAAGGAAAAAACAATCGTATGTACATCAGTTGCGCATTGATCGCCGATAATCAGAAAGGAGATTAACGTCAGACTTTTCTTATCTTAGACCAATGGCAGCGTATCGAGTGATTCGGAAACTGATAAGACGGATTTCTTTTGACTTCGAGTAAAATATTAAATTTGTTTCTGGTGTATTGATTATTGTTATTATTGGATAATTTAAGGTCATCGTAATGCATTTTTTCCGAGTACTTTAACGTGTTAAATATGAGTCAGTCGGTATATAGACACGACCACGTTTATTATGATAACGATAAAACGTTATCAGCGGGAAAGTTATACGCGTAAATTATATAAATAAATATAATATCTCCAGTTGTGAAGTAGGCCAATCGAAATTAAAATTATATACTAGGTTTGTACAAGTTTTTAATTGTATTCTCTATACGTTTGCCTTTTCATTGGAGTTTCATATGATGTTATCCTTGTCCTTGGATTTATCTATGCGCAATGTAACTATAGGTGTGACAAGCGGTGTCTTTTGATAGTCCGTTACGGATGCCACTTTGCCGTTACTTGACCGATGTTATGCACTTAGAAAATCAATGAGTCCCAGACCACGTACTTTTAAATCCACAAATTTAATATGATTCACTGCTCTATTCTTTGAGTCTTAAATAGAATACTCAAAAACGTTCGTTTACTGAAATGATACGAGTCTTCAAAATGGTTTTAAAAATGTTACACTCTGAATTATGAAAATTAATTTCGATTGTTGTTTTTCTGGAAATGTACTGCAAAAGTCATTTTTGCAAATAAAAAGTCACAAGAACTCAAATTCTTGTCAAGAAAAAATTCTATAATCGTACGTACGATTCAATACTTTTTCAATTATAAGAACTTTTGACACATAAAATCGTGAATATTAACTTCTTTTTAAACACACTAACGGAATGTGTAGTAGCATCGTGTACGTCTTATTGCATATAGTCGGTCGATGTGTTTTTTTCGACAGATTGAAAACAAAATCTCTGACAAGTCACACGTGGCCTTGCATACAATTTTTCTTAAAAAATATGCATATGCATGCATTTGCACTAAATTGTATTATATTTTTATATTTTTATATATTTTGTAACGTAATTCTTTTCCTTAATTCGACACCGATAGCAAAGCATCCGAGAACGAACTATTTTCGAGAACCAACCTACGTTACCTTCGGCCGTCCACCCGTCGTTCGTGCATCCGCAAGCCAGGCGGGCGCCAGCCAATTCTCTTTTCACCGGGAACTGACGAGCCGGTAGAAACTGGGAACTATCTTCGAGAACCAACCTACGTTACCTTCGGCCGTCCACCCGTCGTTCGTGCATCCGCAAGCCAGGCGGGCGCCAGCCAATTCTCTTTTCACCGGGAACTGACGAGCCGGTAGAAACTGGGAGTTGGGGTGGAACAGGCCCAACTCCACAAAAACGAGAACTCTGACGGAACCTATCGGACGAGGCCATAGCTTAACGGATCCTGTCGATCTTTGGGGTCGCGTAAAATCAGCAAACGCAACTGGATACACGAACGGGAGCGGACGGTTACGGAAATGCACGGCCGCTCAGGCTGCTAGGTT